CATGTAGGTCAAGCCTCTGACCCCAGCAAAGAGAATGTACTCAGAATGACGCTTTCGTATTTGGACCGCTCTGCAGGAGCTTCATAGATGTAATGAAGTATTAGATACTTCGACAACAAACCATATGAGTAGATTTGAGTGAGAACTTTGCTCTGCAATCATCTTAAGGGTTTATTTTAGACATTAAGCGTAAGAACAGTTCACAAGTGCCAGAATCTTTAGTCAAATATATGGAACATAATTCAACAGAAAGTTTATTCATTCAAACGAAAATGAGATTTTATATATTTGAATGGTTTGAGCAAAACGGGGATTTGCCAGACGTAATCGTTTCAAGCAAACACTCGCGGATTTGTTTCTCTCCTTTGTGACTAAATATGTTTTTTCTGTTTTTAGTGTACGTGCTCAAAAGTAAGCATCAAATTTAAAAGATGTTTTCAAGAAAGACGCAAATGAAAGTTGATTTGTTTAAAAAAAATATTTTTATGATTCGTAGTTTTCAAACACTAATTTATAATAAATGGACTAATAAATGAAAATGTACTTTAAGAGATGCTCGAAATTAAGTATTCTCAACTTCAAAATGCCCAATAGTAATTTACCCCTGTAGGAAGGCGGTTCTCACACTCAGCAGTGCAAGGAGAAGAAGAAAGAACTAAGTTACATTTTTGTGTCGAGTAAATAGCAAAGCATCAATGTTCGCATTTCTGATTCAGATCCTTGTGTTTTAGAACGTTCTTCCATGAAAGCGCTACTAGGTGATCATTCTTGAAGTATAATCAATTATTTAAAAAATAAAGTTTAAAAACTCAATCTATTCTTCAAAAACTCAAATGCAATACGTGTGTTATCAGAGATGAAACTGACAAATTTCGTGTTTAACCGGTTGTGAGGCGTACACTATTACTAAGAATTCATTTTTCACAAAGCAATGAACTCTTCTGAAACATGAAACCAGCGGGCGTGTTATTCTTGCCTTGTAAGTTACCTTCTGCGCGCTTTTGACGTTTATATCTCTCGCCCGCTAAGAAGCAATTAAAAGGGGCCGGTGCGAAACCTGCTGCAAACGGGTTCTGAGTGCAAAGTGGGCGTGACTTCAGACACCTGATCGTGCATGCAACCTTACTGCCCGTCCGTCGTGCCTATGACTCACGGAGAATCTGCCTTTTCCTGGAGCGAAGAAAGATCGTGCGGTTGCAGACGTCACTTCAAGGTCAGATCTAAACACGCGCCCATGCGTCTCACAGCGGCAAGGCGTAACGATGGCGAAGGAGCCTGAAAGGGAACTCCCTCTGTTGTCATTAGTAGCGGTGCTCGGAAAGTTACAACAAACAAATAGAAATCTCGAAATACAACAGCAACGAAAATGAAAGAAAAGGGCTGGATGATTTACGAATAATTGTAAACTTTACTTCAAGCTAAAAGGTGTAATATGAAAAGATTTACTCCAGAACTAGAAAATAATGGTTATCTTCGATACATAATATGGAGTTTTATTAATTTCAACAAGAGCCAGATAGCAGAATGTTATGGTACTATTGTTTACAAAACAAAAGAGCTCTCAAAATAACACTTTTGAGTAAATGAAATGTTAGTCCTTGATTTTAAAGGATAATATGAGGAATTTTCTCGAAACAAAAATTCAGTCTATTAAATGTACCCAATGATGGAATAACAGGAAAGTTTCTTCATATTTAATCATACCTTCTATTGAGTAATTGTAGCTTTATCAGATCAAAAAGTGTAGGAAACTACGATACTCTGGTGCTAGAAGTCTAGAAGTCATAAAAAAGACAAATACTCTCGAAGAAATCGAGGTAAATGAAACAATGTAACTTTTGTTCTTTTGGAAAATACGTGAATACTACATGATGAATTGAAAAATGACAAGGTTATTTTTTCCAGTATCACTATCTTCTACATAATATGCATGAACAATACAAATCATTATCATTTTCAACAACAACTATGCACCATATTTCTTCGAAGATAAAATGTGTTAAATTTACAAAGACCTGATTACAACAAAAAAGGATGGAAGTAGAGTTGCATACAGTCTTTACGTAGTTATAAAATAATTACTTTTAATGGCATTTGGTACAATAACACTTACAAGTCTTTATTCCCATCACCATTAATGCATGATGGTGGATGACAAATGTTAAATCGCCGTTAAGAAAAAACACGGATTTTTCGGTAGAAAATCTTAGTGTATTCCAAAATTAACTTGTATTGTATTACGATCGTGGCCAATTTCTACAATACAAAAACAAATATACGCGTATACGGAGCAAATACATTAATAATAATAATAATAATTTTTATTGAGTCACATATACAATTACAATGGTGTATGACGAGTCAATATGATGTCGGGTGCAGAGAGTGAAATTACATTACTGCTCAGAAGGGAACCAAGGTGACATATCAGCATTTGCTCAAGGGACCACGGAAACTGAACAGAACCTGATCAATATGGGGTCATTTGCTTAGGGATTATACAACAATACTTGCTACAGATAGAATAAGATATTATACAATAAATAATTTTTAGCAAATAATTAAACGTTTCAAGATCTGTACAGTTTCATGATTCAAATAAAATTTACTTTTTATTGTCATTTTATTGCACTGCATATAATGATACTAATATTTATTCAGTCACATATACAATTACAATGGTGTATGACGAGTCAATACGATGTCTTGGGTGGAGAGAGCGAAGTTAGTGTACTGTTCAGGAGCGAAACAAGGCGCAGCCAGCGGGGCACCGCCCCAACCGGAACATACTCTACGAGTAGGCTCCGACTGGTGTGGTAGTGGGAGAGTAATAGTAGTAGGTCTCCCGACGTGTGTGGTAGTGTAGAGTATGTGAGTGTAAGGGTATGTAAATAAAAGGAAGAAATAGGACAAGGAAGTGGAAGGAAAGATCGCGTGTGGTCCGTGGCCCGTTTGTTAGGGTACTGCTCTGACATTCGCCTGGTGTTGATTGAGAAATCACGGAAAACTATCGTCCAGAGCGACTGGCCTCTAGATTTCTCCTCCACACAGCGGCTGAATTCGACCCAGATGATAAGCTATCGTCACAAATCTAGCCGTCGGGTCTTTACCCTAGGACTTCCCGGACAGAGGCTCTGCAATGACATCAATTGATGCACTGAGCCACCTTATCCTAGATATAATACCCTAAAAGTCTAACACCTTAACGTATACAACATTCACCGCCAGGGCGCGGGTTCCATCTCAGACCCATCTGCGTGAAATTTGTAGTGCCAAAGCGAACTCTTTGGTTTCCACGACAACTCGGGGTTTCTGGGGAAGTTCCATCCATTTAATACATTCATCATCATCATCATCATCATCATCATCATCATCATCATCTTCCGTTCCTACTCATCAGATTAATACTCGTGAGCCTCAACAATCTCAACCATTAACGTACCCTAAACTATGGTGACCAGTCTTCCCGATTTCTTCGGAACACATATTTTAAATCGTTAGGCAGTTTTCCCGTGTATTGAATTTGACTGAAAATTACTTAGAAAACTCATGTTTCTTCCGGGAAATTGCTACCAATGTTACCGTTGACGTATTCAAGTCAAAATTTGGTTTGATTACGAAGGTAAATTTTAAACAAAAGGTTGTACAGACTTTGTAAAACATTTTTAATACCATGTATTGATAAACGGGTTACTTTACGACAGTTTGGTAACTTAATTTTTTGAAAAAATGTAAACTAAGAAAATATTACTGTAATTTATTCTGATTTTCACTTGCCTATGAAGCAGACCACACCCACAGTTTATTCAACCTAACTCAATGCCCCCCCCCCACAACAGATCATTCAAATGCTCTCCGATTTGAGGTTAGAAAAATGTGGTCATCATTCTCTTAATCAAATTAATTATTCTTAATAATGTTACATGACGTGAATGTCCATTCTTGAAAAGAACTCATTCTGACTTTTTCATTATTACATCTATTGTATCTGTATTGGTGTCAATTGATTGATTGATAACTAGGGATTCCGGGCGCGTCAACTGCTAAGGCCATTATTACCGTAAGTGAAGTACATGTTTTTGTCCCAACAATTGTGGTGATCTTGTCCTCCTGGATGGCGAGATCCGTCTCGACCTGTCGGAGAGCGGAGTTTTCCCCAACCAGGTACCTCCCACTACCCGGGCACCGCCCCAGCCAGAACGATCTCTTAAGTCTCGAGCGGTTTCCCGCCATGAGTGGTAGTGTAAAGCATGTTAGTGTGAGCGTGTGAGAAAAATGGGTGAGGATAGAGCAAGGAAGAGAAAGGAAAGATCGCGCGTGGTTCATGTCCCGTTGGGTTTGTTATGGTACTGCTTCGTCATTCACCTGATGTTGATCGAGAAAGCACGGAAAACTATCGACAAGAGCAACCGGCCGCTAGAATTCTCCTACAGTCAGGGACAAAACTAGACCTAGCTTTATGGCTAGTATCGAAAATTCTGCCACCGTCAGGACTTGAAACCCAGGACCTTAGTCACAGGCACTGCATATTGGTGTCAAAAAAGGTATTTTCATAATTATTGACATTTGAAAATCAAAATTAATTACTAGACGGTTAAATTGATTCACAATTTGCATTAGTGAGATCTATCTCCTTAAAAATTTCATGACGTGAAACTCTGACGTCTACACAAACTATGATAAACCTAACAAGTATTTTGCATCTTCCGTATTCAGCAGGTTGCAGGTTATGTAATCGGATCGTGTGTAATTCTCCGAAATTCCGAATTCACGACGTCATCGTCATCTCAAAGCCCTTTGTCTTGTCCAATAATTCTTGACAGTAATTGTTTTCGCCGATGTACATATAGCAAGTGACGTACGGATGGTAATAGTATCACGCAACAATTCAAAGGAAAATTACACCCCCGAAGAGAAAATAGAAGACGCATGAAAGCTTTTTTGCTCATAGGAAGCAACTAATTTTCCCCAGCTTCAGCAACTCTTCTGCAGCTGCTTCTTATCCAAGGTCGTCATGGTGAGGTCTCTGAAAATAAGAAGTAAGGGAATGACGTAGCGTGCTCATGTATAAAGGCTCGGCTCGGGGAACATCTTCACACTTCACAGCGGGCAGGCGAGAGCGGCTGAGCTCACAGCTACAATGGAGGGACAGGCATCGCCCATGGTGCCTATGTTAATCACGGTACGTTCAAATAATATCATAGTAAACATTTTCAATTCACAGTTTCTACCAGCATTGGTGTGAACATTTCTTCATTTACTTCCTTTTTGAAAATAAAAAGTTCTTTGTCGGTAAATTAAATTGATTTAAATTAAATTAGCACTATACTATTGCTAGTGATGTCTGTGTGAATCGTTGTTGCTAATATTAAAATTTACAATTTCAAATACATGTTTATCACGTGATGTATTTGAGAGTATATTTTTAATTTATAACTTAGAAACAAATATGTTTCGCGTAGTTGCAAATAAAAATTAAATTCGTGTGATTTTTCTTGGGTCACATTTGTTGTGTTTTGTAAACTTTATATAATATTGTCTTAAATTTTTTTTTCCGCCAGTACTTTTTAAGTTCTTATGGTCATCACAGAATGAAGCAAAAATGTAATTTACAAAGCTATCTGATTAATAATTGATTGAACAGTTACTGTCTCCAAACATCGGACGTAATGACTCTTATCATTAATGGAATCATGGCGAAAAATACATCAGATTGTTTATTTAATGAACGTGTAATACGGTCTGGGAAATGTGTGATATTTGCATACTATGGAACACATACTGTTGCATGCAGTTGTCATGATTTCATCGAACTTCTGCTATCCGATTGCTGTAGTTTTTGAGGTAGCGTTTTTGCTTTGAATTTCTATTTCAATTTTTGAAGTGAGCTATAGCTTTCGAACCACTTCTGAAGTTTTTGTTTTCAATGGGTTCTCATCTTTCAATGGGTGTGTACTTGAACCTGCAAATGTAGGTCACGTGAACTGTTAAATAGAGCAGCATGAGTATTGCTATAGTTTTTCATATTTTTATTGTAGTTACTAGTTTCGTTTTAATTTTTAGAGTGCTACCACATATTGCCTAGAACTTTAAAAGGTAGTTTTCTATGTATCTTTCTGGCCACTTATTATTCACCCTGAGTATGCAAATGAGGAACGTTTTTGCAAAATTTTATCAACAACTGTTTTGGACCTAACTGGTGTATTCCCCCAAAGTGGCATTAATTTCGTTTTCTCTCGATATTTGAATGTCATATTTCTTTCATTTCTGATCCACGGGATGTTTAGAATTTTTAAGTTATGCTTATTATTATTATAGCATATTTTGCATATTTATATGTTTCTAGTTTTGAATGTCGTTAACATATTCGAAACGATATTTATTGAAAGGCCGTCAGTCAGGAAATCAAATCATTTGGATAATTAAAAAAAACAAAAACAAAACAAAAAAACGATTAATAATAAAACTATATAGCTAGCGGCGCCGTTTTAGTTATGGTATTTTTTCTATTTACTGTAGCGATCGTGAAAATAAAAGTGAATTTTATTAACTCAGATCTTTTGTTCATTTACTTTCTCGCTGCTGAGTAGACAGAACGTTATGAAACACTGCGGGAGAAAAACGGCGAATTTTCGGCAGAAACATTCTTATTACAGAACCCTGGAAACGAAAAAGTGGATACATCCATATTTGCTTGCTAAATTTAGAGAAAAATCTAATAGGAGGTGTAGCCAGAATCCATGTTTTGTGGATTCTTTATACCGAAAAATCGAATGACAGCAAAATGTCTCTGTCTGTTCGTTCGTCCATCCGTCCGTCCATCCATGTCTGTGAACAACGCTAGCGGCTAAACCTTTCAGCCTATTTTCTCCAAAATTGATATTTCCCAATCGCTCTAACTGATGTCGCGGCCCCTTGAATTCGAAACCGATATTGTAATTTTGGGAGATACTTTCCATGAAGCTCCTGGGACATTTTCCAAATTTTCAATAATAAAAAAAAAGACTCCATCATTTTTTATTAAAGTTTGTTGTTGGATAATGTGAATGGTGATTAAAGAATGATGAAGTTATTATTTTCGTTAAAAACTCCGATTTTTCGGAAATAGAGAGAATTCAAACTTTTTTGGCGTCTTCCTAAAATTACCATTATGAAGATGTACATATATGTTTTTCCATTAATGAAATATGATCCTTAAAGTTAAATTTTGAAATAAGGTCCTTTAGAATTTTTTGAAAATTTGAATACTTTTTGCGTAATTTGCGTGAAAATAAGGTGAGAAAGTATGTGTTATGTTACCCAACTGGTTTCATTTTAATTGTTTTTGACTAACGTTATTGTAATAAATTCTAGAATAATTTTGGTATTTTTAATTCTTAATTTTAATGGTTCAAATTTTTGCAGGGAACAGAAAAAAATATTATTATATATCGGTATAAGCGTGTCACAAAATTTTTCAAACATATTTACCAAATGAATGCCTAGCATATCAAAAATTTAGCCATTAAATATTAGATTAAACACCAAAATTCTTTGTGCTTAACTTGTATTCCCTTTCTTCTTACTTGCAATCGACTATAGATTCTGTACGAACAGGCTACTGTAGTATATTCTCATAAAATTTCATATGCTCGTCAGGTATGTAATCCGATTTTCTCAGTGTCTTGACGTCTTTGACACTTTGTTTGAAACCTTTCCTGAAGGATAAGCTGGAGTGCCTGGTTATTCAAGATCACGATTTGACTAAGAACGAATGAATGTTAAATGAGGTCTCCAAAGGGATTGTATATGTGTGTCCTCTTCATTCAGAATTGTTTTTGAAATTGTACAAGAACTGCCAGAAAATATGACTTTCTCATTTCCTGGTTTGTGTTTTATCTCCTCTGGGATAATTGAACAAGAGGTACCTGGTACAAGGGCTTCCACCAGTTCTTAAAATCAATAATATCAGATATTCGTACTTATTTCAAATTTCCAAAGTTTTACACTTTTAATAATGTGGCCCGTTATTTCATGGATACTTGAATTCTTGATATGACTTCCTAGGCTCTGTTTTGACTTCATAATCCCTGTTCGTATTTTGTTGTAGAATCAGTCACGGATTCACGCTTTTTTAAACAAAATTACAATATTTAAACACTCTAAATGTCAATACCGCAAGAGGAAATGTTTTAACATCACGCTGTAGTTTCATAAATTTCGAAAATGAAATTCAGAAAACATTAATTTTCATAAAATAGGTACTGACGTAGTTTTAAGAAATATCGATTCATACATAAAAAGTTGGCCACATCGGGTAGTCCTGAACAACTTTTTTATTTTTTAAGATTTATTCTGAGTTTTGTGAACCATTCTTTGTCATAATTTTTGTTTCTGCATATAAACTGTCCACCACTTTTCTCCTAAATGTAGGGTAACCTTGATTTTATTATATCAACAAAGTCCATAAAGTATCTCGTTATACACTATCTAATGATTTTTCAAAGTCTACAAAGACAATGTGAGTCTGTAAGTTATATTTCCTCCTCTTTTCTAAGACTTGTTGTAATATGAAGGCATTTTCTGTTGTTAACTTTCTTTTCTTAAAGCCACTTGGTCCTCTCTTCTTCTAGTAGTGCTTTGGTTATTGTCTTTAGTCTCTTGTTTATTTTTCGGGCATATAGCTTGTACAATACATTTAGAAGGCTAATTGCTCATTTAAATTTTACATTGTCTTTTGTCACCTTTAAGAAAAAATACTGTCTTCCATTCTGATTTCTTGCCAACATTGATTTATAACACGCAGTATCCACCAATGTAGCATCTTGCCGCCATATCTGAAAAGTTCTGTATTAATCTAACCCATTCCTGTAGCTTTTTTATTTTCCACTACATTTAATTTGTCATTCAACTTTTGAATTTCAATTAGTTCGACTTTTTCTTTTACATTTTGCCAGAGTGAGTTTTTCTCTTTCTTCGTATTTTCGAACTTATCTAAACAATAATTTGTTATAATGTTTATTCCACGAATCTTTTGTTGGCACTTCGATCCTTACAACAGGTTTTTACTTTTTATTTTTTTGAGTACTCTTTTAACGAAATTTTGTCTACCGTACATTTTGTGTTCTATTTAGCCCTTTATTGTGGGCTGGCATACTATTATTTTTGCTGCATTCCATTTTTTATACATTTTTCTTGATACATCGTCATTTTTCCGTAACCATTTCAAATATCCACTTTGTTTCTTTAATGGCTTCGCCATTTTCTTCATTCCAAATTCGTAGGCCTTTTCTACTCTTTATCCTTCAAACGTCGCTTGCTGAAATATCTACACATTTGATAATATTTTGCCATTCCGTGTGTAACTATTTTTCAGTTGGTGTATTTAAGAGGTATTGTTGGAGTCATTGTATATATAGCATTTTCGTCTTGTGGTAGATGAGCTTTATATTTTTTCTTGAATTATTCTTTGTCTGTTACTTAGTTTTCACAATTTTGTCCAAATAATGAATTTTGTTGGGATGTCGATTTCCTGTGTATTTTATTTTATCATTAATCAATAAATAATTGATCTATATCCTTATGCTGTTCAAGTAAAGTTATGAAAATTTTCAAAAAATAGTGTTGGCTACTTTTAAGTGATTTTGACTAGCACATTTCTCGTATTGGTATGTGTCCCCCCATTTGTGTATGTATGTATGACAACTGTATAGATAATGGAATCAAAGTAATGAAAAGAAGCAGATGGGTAGCGAATCTCCTTGAAAAATTATGTACACCGCTTGAGAGTGAGCGAATGACACATTTTACGCATTTTTCTGAATTTTAGTTGTTATTATTATTATTATTATTCATTCATTCATTCTACAATACTTTGCTCAATATTTGGGCTGTTCCTAATAAAACAATGTCTTATACTTGCCAGTTTTTTTAGTGCCCTGGTAGTTAAGCCCAGTTTTTACCCTGATTTTGCTGCGCGAATCCCAGAGCTCCGATAACACGGGACGAAATGTGCATTTACACCCCACATTCGGATGATCTCTATTTACAAACTCTTGCATATACTATTATTATTATTATTATTATTATTATTATTATTATTATTATTATTATTATTATCATCATCACTATTAATATTACTTATATTATGATGATTGCTGCTGTTATTATTGCATTGCAGCTGTGCGCCCTAGCCGCGCCGGCAGCGCAGGCGCCCAGCGCGCCCACAATTTCGCTGGAGTCGCACCAGTACTTCGCGAACCAGACGTACTCGTGGCGGCAGTTCGCGTGCACCGAGGCGGAGCGGCGCTGCCTGGGCGAGCGGCGGCTGCTGCACGAGGCGGACGGGCAGTGCTACGCGGCGGGCGCGCGGGGTCCTTGCGCCGACGGCCAGCTCTTCTTCGCGGAGAAGCGCGAGGCCGCGCGCAAGGGCGGCCACCTGCGCGGCACGTGCGCCAACCGCTGCGCGGGCGACGCCCGGCCCGTGGCCGCCACGGGCGACTGCCTCACCCGCGCGCAAAGTGCAGGCAGCCATGGTCACGCTGCATTGGACGTCCGCAAAGAAAGGGTCTCGGATTGGTTCGGGTTCCGTCTGTCACCCAACCAGGAACTCGCGATGACTCGAATCCGCTTAACCTGATTAGACTTTCAACGTTTAGCGATTTGGCGTTTGTATTTAGATAATTCGGTACGTCCGCAGCAAGGGTAATGACCCGCGATGAAGTCGTCGGAGGTTCCCAGTTCTGTCACCCAACCAGGAACCTGTGATGCCTCGAATCCGACTTAACTTTTGATGAGCTTCTCGTGGTTATAGACCTAATTCGGCCGTTTTGGTATTTAAGACTTGTGACGTCCCGCTAAAGGCAGATTGACCTGAATGATCTCTGAGTTCCCAGTCTGTCACCCAACCAGAAACCCGCGATGACTCGAATCCGCTTAACCTGTTTAGACATCACGTCTTAACGAATTTGGCGTTTGTATTTAGATATTGTACGTCCCGCAAAGGGTAATTGACCGCGATTATACTCGGGGTTCCCAAGTCTGTCACCCAACAGGAACCCGCGATGACTCGAATCCGCTTAACCTGTTAGACTTCACGTTTTAACGAATCTGGCGTTTGTATTTAGATATTGTACGTCCCGCAAAGGGTAATTGACCGCGATGATCTCGGGGTTCCCAGTCTGTCACCCAACCAGGAACCTGTGATGCCTCGAATCCGCTTAACTTTTGAGACTTCTCGTGGTTAACTAATTCGGCGTTTGTATTTAGACATTGTACGTCCCGTAAAGGGCAATTGACCTTGATGATCTCTGAGTTCCCAGTCTGTCACCCAACCAGAAACCCGCGATGACTCGAATCCGCTTAACCTTTTAGACATCACGTCTTAACGAATTTGGCGTTTGTATTTAGATATTGTACGTCCCGCAAAGGGTAATTGACCGCGATGATCTCGGGGTTCCCAGTCTGTCACCCAACCAGGAACCCGCGATGACTCGAATCCGCTTAACCTGTTAGACTTCACGTCTTAACGAATTCGGCGTTTGTATTTAGACATTGTACGTCCCGTAAAGGGCAATTGGTCTCGATGATCTCGGGATTCCCAGTCTGTCACCCAACCAGGTATCCGTGATGCCTCGAATACGCTTAATCTTTGAGACTTCACGTAGTTAACAAATTCGGCTTTTGTATTTAGACATTGTACGTTCGGTAAAGAGCAATTGATCTCGCTGACGTATGTTCTCGGGGTTCCCAGTGTGTCACCCAACCAGGAACCCGCGATAACTCGAATCCGCTTAACCTTCGTGATTTCACGTACTTAACGAATTGATCTAGCGACGCCGGTTTGGAGGTCGTAGCCTTTCCGTTGAACCATCCTAGTATTCCCCTGAATGAGCGAGGGAAACCAATAAATCCCGGGTCAGGATGAAAGGCACGGGCCTCCCGAATGCAAAGTCAGCTCGCTACGCTCTGAGCCAATTCAGTCGGTGGAGAAACAGGTAATAGTGTGTTCAGCCTTTTACTACGGAACTAATGTTGCTTCCAAGTTTGAAATAAATTTTGATTGATTAGTGTTTCCTAATAATCCCATACGTGTAGTGCATGCTTTTATCGCGGAAGATGGCAGTGATCTTTTCCCGCCGGATGTTGAGATCCCGCGCCGACTTACCGTCGGATAGTGGGGTTTTCTACAACCAGGTACCTCCCACCAGCGAAGTCCCGAACGGAGCTCGTTGAATTAGCCCGACGGAAAGGAAGAGAATGCGCTCGTGTTCGATCGGATCTAGTCTTGTGAAAGGCGAGTGACTCGTAAGCCACCGCAGCAGGTCACCGCGAGGAGCCTCGATCCAATTGCATTGGAGCAGCGTCAATGTAGTATACACGACTATGCGTTATCAAAAATTGCCATTTACAAAAACTATAAGAGCTAGTGTTTCAGGTAAGAATTTTGGGCCTTCAAAACCGACTGAGATACTCGAAGGGGGCTCTTCACGTTTCTTCAAGCTTTTTCCTCAACAATTAAACGCTTCACGTTTCTTCCCTTCTTTACGGTCCCTTGCTTCCCGTGATCACAGACTGTGCAATTTTCCTCAACTGGGATATTTTTGTTATAATCTTACTGATGGAACTCTTATATTACATAGTAAAATTAAATGCATACTATAAATACTAAATGAATGTTTCGTCATATTTGCTTAGAAAGTCTTCCTATATTACCTGTTTATCTTTGGGCGGAAAAGACAGCGTTACTATGCAGGGCGTCTTTGCCACTCTAGAGAGAAAATTGTGTACTTTCAGTACGAACAGTCCAACCAACATGCCTACAGAAGTCACGTTTGTTACGAACTTCTTTCACACAATCAATAATTAATACAATACAGAAATATTTACATTTAATACAACCTGAAAAAGTACCACACACAAAAATAATAACATGACCAACAAATTTATTCAAAACATTTTATATATACAAAATTTTATTTGTAAAGTACACATGGAAGATATAAATACATTTATTGTGTAAAAAAAGACACCAACCTTCTATGTTGATTTCAACTTGCAGCATACAATCAGAAGTAAGCAAGCAAAACATTTCCGCTGAAAATTTTGACATTTTTCTCGCTGTATCGATTCTTAAACAAGTCGTAATCCTTAATTTTGTTTTGTCTTGACTTGCTAGAAATTAATTTCTCCGTCGTTTGTCATGCCATTTTTAGAATGACTGGAGGAATTTCCATATTTTCGTCGGTTACATTTACGTCGATACCCTCCATTTCTAGCTTGTAAACATCCAATTGTTCCTTCCTTTGTTGAAAAATTGATCAATACTAATGGAATGTGATCAGGAAATTTAGTACGAGAATTAATATATGTTATAGAAAATAAGGAAAATATATGCATGTATGACGGAAAATTGCATTCGTCACACGAACGAAACAAGGCTCGAGCTAACGCTCTCGTGTCACAACATTCAAATTTCCAGCAAAAACGTCTTTCTTTCTGCCCTTGTGTCGAAACATTCTCTTTCAACATATGCACTGACTAGAATAGTTTGAATTCTTTCGACCCATTTTTCTTTTAAAATAAAAGAGTAGCCTGTATCAGTTCTCGCTGAAGACTAACGCAAGAGATTTCGTTCTTATCTTTGTTTTCGTAAGCATTATAGGGAAAACAATCGTATTCCATTTCAGAATAGCGAACAACACGTGGCTCGAAATAAAACTAAATAAGATATTTTCAAAACTTGGATGTCATTAGGAAAATCATAATTTCAAACTATAATTCAGTAAAAAAATGTTTTAAAATAAATAAAAATTCGCAAACAAATTATTTCACAAATAGGAATAGCTAAATATTTATTCGAAAATTCAGTACGCAATGAGTTAGAGGATGACGAAATTTTAGAGAATTCGAAATGAGTTTAAAGAATTCTAATTCTAAATCTAAAGCATTCTAAATAAATAAATGATTTAAATTTAGTATTAATTTTACGGGGATTCATGGGTAATGGCATTTTCTCAGCCTCCCTGCGATACAGCCAATTAAGGCAGTGCTTTTATTCTGGGCGTTTCTTGCTGCATTTCTTTATTGCTGGGCGTTTCTTGCTGTAACGCTTCTTGCGAAGCGTTGTTGTTGTTCTTGGACTAAGTAAACGGACTTCCTTTTTGTTATTTAGAATGGATGTAACGAGAGAGTTTAAGATTACACTTAGCGGTAAAGTGCATTTATGTAAACAAATTCACATTCTTGTAGCTTTTTTACGCAACACAAGCACCAGCTAACACCTGTACAATGACCTTTGGGACTTCGAGTTTCCAAGTACGCGACAGGCCTAGAGGAATGACATTGTGATGTTTTCCTCTCCTCTCTCGCACTACCTTCTTTCCACGTCCAACGATCTGTATCCATATTGTAGCACGTTTCATAACGCTGTACTGTTATATAGATTTAATCCAAACAAACAGAAACGAACGACCACTTTTATTAGACGGCCTCCGTTAGACCCAAATTACATGTCACCTTTCAACAACGACACAAGTTCACTTCCGAGGTTTCACATTTCAAATTGTGCATGCGAGCAATCACTTAAAACTCTGGAATCGTTTGTAAGAGTGTATATCGCAAATTAAGAATGTAACAGGCAGCAGTCTTTTAAGAACAATCGAAGCAAATGAGTTGAAGAGGTGGTTGAATAGATTAGTTGAAGAGATGGAGAGAGCTCAAGAGAGGGCATTCTTCTATTGTGAGTGTTCTTCTATTCCCCCAAAAAAATCTTATTTATATGATTATTCCCATTAGGTATTTTGAAAAAGTATTGAATGCTACACGAACCATACTACAAATGACGAACTTGATTAGGTATTTTCTCTATAACAGTCTAATGGCAGCCATGCTACCCGAAGAGGGGGCTCGGGGCATCCATTAATGTGTCTGTAGTGCCTCTGACCGGGAGGTTTTAGGTTCAAGTCGCGACGGTGGCAAGGTTTTCGACACTCGCTTGTCAGCTACGTTGAGTTCAGAAGTTGTCTGAAGGATAAATTTGGCGGCCGGCTGCTCTGATCTGTAGTTTTCCGTGGTTTGTCCGATGAATATCAGGCTAATGACGGAGCAGTACCCTAACAAACGGGTGACGGAGAGCGCGCGATCTTTCCTTCCGCATCCTGGTCCTATCTTCTTTTAAAGTAAAAGAGAAGTCTAACGCAAGAGTTTCATTCATATCTTTGTTTTCGTAAGCATTATAAAGAAAACAACTCCATTTCAGAATAGTGAACAACACGTGGTTTTCAAATAAAACTAAATACGATATTTTCAAAACTTAGAAGTGATTAGGAAACTCATAATTTTGGTATAAGCACACTTACATGCTTTACACTACTACACTGCCGGAAGACCGACCGAGATCTCGGAGCTTGCCCCACAAGGAGGCGGTGCCCCACTGGTGGGAGATACCTGGTTGAGGAAAACCCCTCTAGCACACGGTAGGTCTACCATCCAGCGGAGGATGATCACCGCCACCTTCGTTGATGAAACATCCACCACACTTACGGGGCGAATGACTTAAGCAGTTGACGCGGCCGGAATCACTATCAATCATCAACCTAGTGCCGACAACGGCTTTTGCTGAAAAGTCGACGCGCTGTCTGTTGCAGATCTGCCGTGAAGACTGGTACCTGCGGCCGGCGATGGACCTGTTCGGCGAGTGGGTGTGCGAGTGGACGCAGCTGCTCTGTTCTCCGCGAGGCGACTTGGTGTCCGGAGGATACTTCGACTCGCCATACGACGGACTCTGCTCGGCGCCGGACGTGTTCCGCGTGATAAGCGACGGACCCAACGCGACGGTGAGTCCTGCTATGACATTTCTACTTTCTCGCACTTACGTAAAAATAGGAAGCATTGTAATCGTGCGTCGGAAAACGAAGAATTTTCGACACGAAACTCTTATTGCCCTGGTAAAGAAAACGTCGCGAAATGTAGAAAAAAATCCCTCTAATACATGGTGTAATCAGAATCTATATTTTGTGGTCCTTCATATCGAAAAATTGATTCACAGCAAAACGTCTGTCTGTCCGTCCGTCTGTGCACAACGCCAGTATAAACCGTTCAGTCGATTTTCTCCAAAATTGGTATTCCTCAATCGTTCTAGCTGATGTCGCAGACCCTGGAATTTGAAATAGAAATTTTATTTTTAGGGAGTTCTTTACATGACGCCCCTGGGATATTTTCGAAATTTTCAAAAAAAAATGGCTCCAAATTTTTTGATTAAATTTTGTTGTTGAATAGTGTAAAGAACGTTTAAGAGGATGGTGCAAGAATCGTTTTCGTTTAAACCTCAATTCTTCGAAAATTGTAAAAAAAACTTCAAAATTGGAAATGTATATTTTTGTCTCAGTCAGTGCCTATTGTACAAAATAAACTTTTTAAAAAGGTAATGTAAATTCTTTGAAAAAAACCGTTTTTGCGGATTTTGCGATTCAAATTTCCAAAAATACCCTCAAAATCCACTCCACTTTTTATTTAAAATTTTATTTTTATTTAAATTTCGAAAATAGCAAAACTCTTTTCAAAAATACAAAATTGAAGATATAGAATTTTGCCTCAGACAAAGTCTGTTATACAAAATAATCCCTGTAAAAATATGTACAATTTTTGTAAAAGTTAGTGGTTTTCTCCTAATTTCTGTTTTCTCAGCGTTCCGTCGTACGTAAATTGAAATATTGTGAGAAAGTATGAGATATTGTAGCCCCACCAGTTCGTAATATAAATACTACAAACACTGTGCTGTTATGTTGTAGGTTCCATAAGTCTCTGGCCTCACCAACTTCTATTTTTGATACAAAAAATGTAACTTTTCAACATAATATTTCTGTACAACAAATCTGTATATTAACATTTCTAGGCATCTGATAAAATACTTCGACGTTTTGTTGACAAAAAAGCCAAAAACTGCTTCTTTCATCCCTCACTTTCTCTTGTCTGAAACTCTTCTTCCCCGACGGTTTTTCTCCAGTTTTGATCATTGGTAGACGACGCAGGGGGCCCAATGTGAACTGTAGTGTGAATGGTTGAACTTATTAAAGCCATGGTCATTCACAACATTCTTTGCAATCGGAGGAGTCAGCACAGATGCGTTGACGTGAAGAAGCTAAGCACAGAGAGATGTCACGCTCCAACCCAACTCAAGTTCTGCTCTCCCCAAAATTGAATGAGATGTCGGCAGCAAACTTAGTTCATTTCAATTATAGATAAAACTATATTCTTCCCAGCATATTTTCTCTTAGATGAGCATTATCTTGGTCAAGTGGGAAAATAATGGTACCACTTATGTATATAGACTCAACTAAGAACATTCGAAACAAATGAGTTTTAACTAGTGATACCATCTGGCAACATCAGGGAACTAGACAATCGATTACTAATACCTTACGAATATTTAATATATTCGTCTTGTCAACATTCGTCTTAAAGATTAACTTTCTTTACGCCTACTTGGATGTCATTCTACAAAACCTGGAGGCTAGGAGAAACACGAACGCTTCTGGAAGGAAATTTCATCTACCGGAAAAAAGTACAATACCCAGCAGACAAGTGTGCAAGTGTGTTGGCCGATTCTTACAGAACCCTCAAAAGAGACGTTCCCAAGAAAAAGTACTCAAAGAGATGTCAATTAACTTTTTTTAGGTTCATTGAACAAGTTTAATTTATTTTCTGTAGATGCAATGTACTGCAAAGAATTAACTATATACACACTGTGAATGTTAAGTGTGAATAAGGAACGGTGACTTAAGAACCAGTCATTATAAGTGTGCACTATGAATTCGACTCTCGAGCTCTCTGCCTTCGGCCCTCCCTTCATCAGGACCACTCCAAGCCATCCGAACTAAGTGAACGTGTTAATTGGTTATTGCCTTTTGCACGAATGTGTTGCAGGTGCCAGACGAGAAACCAGCGAACCACCCGATGCTCCGATACTTCACTGACAAATCGTATCTGGAGCGCGAGTTCCCTTGCACCGACGCTGAAAAGGAATGCCTGCAATATGGGCGCGTGCTCCAGAGCGATGGCAAATGCTACATCCCGGGCGAATGGAGCAACCGTTGCGAGCCGGGGCAGGTTTTCCACATCGATTATAACGAGATGGTCACCAACGGCCGGCTGCAGGGAACGTGCCGGTCGCCATGCGGTATGTTAAAGTACCCTCAGCAAGCCACCGGAATATGCGCTGACTACAGCACCATGAGTAACGTAAGTTTTTTTGTTTGTTTGTATTTATTTATTTATTTATTTATTTATTTATTTATTTATTTATTTATTTATTTATTTATTTATTTAATTATTTAATCTAATTAATAGTTTATGTAATGATTGTATATCCCAAAACCGTAAGGCGTTGTGACTTTTTGGAATAGGCAATTTAGAGTTCATAAGAAAGCAAGGTATCTTCTTCATATTTGCTTAATAAATAAAGTTTGTTCCGTCGTTTGGGGATCAGTGGCACAGTAGAACACAGTATTATCTTCTACTGGCTTCTAACATGCAGTATCATTACACAATATGTTGGGCAATATTTTCGTGTGATTACGTGATATTAAATATTATTTGTAAGATCCTCTCAGTAACTCCAATGATAAACAAAATGTATTTGATATCAGTGAAGTAGAAAAAATGATAACCCTTCTCTGTAGTTCAATCGAATACAAAACAATATATTAGTAATAGTATTACAAAAGTTTATTTTCAGAGTGATTTTGTTCCTCGGCACAAAGGCATTTTCCACTTGCAGGTGTGCCGCTGGGAGTGGGGCCTGCACCCCGAGCAGAACCTCTTTGGGCAAATGAGCTGCGCGTGCGCGTGGAGTCCTTCGACGCCGCGCCCTCCGCCGCCGGCGCCGCCCGCGCCCGCCTCCGCCCCCGGCCTCTGCAGGGTGCCCGACTTCTCCAACCCCGTGCGCTCGCCGCACTACGACCAGACGCTGGTAAGCCCACCCTCCTTCCCCTTCACACGGCGTCTGGGAACGCAGCCGGCGTAGCTGACTCAGGGCATCGACTGATGTCACGGCAGTGCCTCTGATCGGGGGTCCTACCGTTCGAGTCCCGGCACTGGCAAGATTTCCGTCACAAGCTAGACAGTTGGGTCGAAATCACTCGCTATCTGGAGGAGAATTCTAGCGGCCGCCTTAGCTTAGCAGGGCATCAACTAATGTCTCTGCAGTGCCTCTGACCGGGAGGACCAGGGGTTCGAGTTGCGGAGCTGGCAGGATTGCTGTCACAAGCTAGACAGTTGGGTCGAAATCAGACGCTATCTGGAGGACAATTCTAGCGATCGACTTCTCCGATCGGTAGTTTTTCGTGGTTTCTCCGACCAGGCGAATGCCGGAGCAGTACCCAAACAAACGGGCCACGGACGGCTCGCGATCTTTCTTTTCCTATCCTCCCCCCTTACATGAACACACACACACACACTACCGCACACACCGGATGACCAAGTGGGAGCTTAGAGCTGGCCCCGGTGGGGGTGGTGCCCTGCTGGTGGGAGATATCTGATTGAGGGAAATCCCCACAAGCCATCGGATGTCGGCGCCGGATCTCGCCATCCAGCGTGGGAAGATCTCCGCCACCTCACGCGTTAAAGGTACACTTCCTTACGGAACAAATGACCTTAGCAGTTGACGCGCTCGGAATCACTATTCATTCAATTAATGAATCTGACAACTAACGTTTTTCTCTCTACCAGAGTATCACTGAATGCGATTATCCCAAACTATAGTAGAAATTCTCAATTACCATTGATTGAATTAATTTACATAATCAGTAAAATGTCCAATCGACGCGAATGTGAAACTTGAATATCTTTGTGATTTCTACACACTTAATCATTCATTGTCCATACACACACTAAACATCTAAATGAAGTCTCTTGACACTTTTCAATACCTCTCGTAATGTTGCAGCCCTTTCTTGATTTTTGCTTTTATGCAAGTGACGGGTACCAACCGCGACTGCCCCGGGTTTGAGACTGCGCTGCTGCTGCACGCTGCTGTTCCAGCCAGATCCATTATTCTTGTTGTCGAGTTATGCAATGTGAAGGTAACGTGCTGCACTGCTGGGCCACGCCATCACGCTCTACCACGCGCTACAGATCCTATCACGGACTTCCACCTTCAGGGGCAGTGGCACTCCTTAGAACAAGCTTCGTTTATTCTTGTACCACTGCGGATGTTTGACGTCCTTATAAAAGTGAATGAGACTTACGTGGGAAGAGATTGGCCAGCAATGTAAAAGGCGGAAGGACATTATAACATGATATTATCGTCGGAATTCACACCTTCGTCCTCTCAAGGCGATGTACTAGACTACGATGTACTAGACTAGAGTTCACGAAATCTGGGGTTGCAAAGTTACAAATGATGTGAGAAAGTCTGTGCTGGTATAGCCTGTCTAGATTTTTATGTTATCAGAGATGTTTACACTCAATCATTTCATTAAGATTCAACGATATCATGAAGGACATTCACGATATCATTGAATTAAAATTGAGGAAAACGTTAATTTATGTTGTTCCAAATTTTCCTCCTATGAATGTGTATTGTTAAATATGGATCAATAAAAAGCAATTAATTGAAATAATTAAATAATGATGATTTCATCCGAACGTTTTTACTATAATCTGAGCATTTTACTTTCCCGAATAAGGGAAGTTATGTAATGCTGCGGAAAATCGATTTCGAGATATCAAAGGAAATGCACGTTTTGGGGTCCTCTGATACCGAAAAGGTGTTTTTTAAAAACGCCCGTCTGTCCATCTATCCACCTGGTGTATGTGAAAAACACTAGCGTCTAAACAATGAGTAGGATTTTTTCCATATTGACGAAAACTCTGTCCATTTGACCTGAGTCGAAGCTCTGTGATTTCATTCATTAGATTATGAGGGTACTTTGCATGAAACCCCTGAGACATTTTCAAAACTTTCTCAAAAATGGCTCCAAATTTTTTCTTTAAATTTCTTGAAATTTATTTGTGCAATTAAAAAATACAAAAGCAAGAATTTCTCAATAAACGGGAACAATTTTTTTCTCTAAACTTTTGGAAAGGATTGTACTAAATGCACTCTATGAAATGACCTAAACGCCACATTTCTCTATTCTTTTGTTTTTTCAAAAAATTACAAAAATGTAATTTTTTGACTTGTCTCTCACGTCGTTAATTTTTACATTAGCAGCAATTGGTTCATATTATTATATTGATGCATACATGTGCTTTAAATAATGTCCTATAAAGCTTCAAGAAAACACCACCGTTTTCTGTAAAAACTAGGTCAAAATTTCCCAATTTTAGAAACGCTCAAACACCATTTTCTCAAAAACGGCTCAAAATTTTGTCTTCAAACTTGTCAGGAAACAAGGAAAAATCTGTGCCACATTTATAGCACCACTAGTTATTTCTTTTCAATTAGAGCTTACAATTTATTAACGAATATTTTTCAATTCTTTTACAAGATCTAGTTAAGTCTATTTTGCAATTTTTTGTATAGAACGCATTAACTTCACTAATTTATAGAATTTATATCGTTATTTTTTTTCAAAATCATAACAAATAACAAAACATTAAAGAACATGCTTGAACATCCTTTGGAATTCGTTTAGCGAGGGCTTACTGTAGGAAAAAAATTATCATAGTAGCAAACTTTTGTCAGGACAGAACTGTATTAAAAAAGCTCAAAAAATTAAGAATAAAACGTTGGAGTTACTCAATGTTTGATACATCAATATCCGAGGGGAACAATATTCGGGTTTATTAGGTAGATAATTTCTAATTTTTCTGTCGGTTCAGTTCTTTGCCGTGGGCAACTCGTTAAAATGCACATAATTAATTGAAGGTGGAATTTCGTATGAATATTCACAAGGTAGTAAACATTTTTTAAGTCCTTGCAAAACCCTTGCAGGCAGATTGCCCCCAGCGTCTCGGAGAACCAGACGGTGCAAACTGCATTTCAATTTCCACAGTTAATCAGAAAGTTCTCGTATAAAACCACATCAAACAATCAGCAAGCAAGCACCAACGCAGTCTTTGCCAAAGAAAACGTGCAATAAAAATATCCCGTGTAGTTTGGAAGGACTTCAAATTACTGCGAGCAGTCGGATAGACTTAGGCATTGGTGGATCTGATAGAATGAAAGTGGAAAATGGAAATGGGAAAATTCAGAAGAAACCTGCAGGTGAAGAGAGGCAAGATGAAAGATAGTGGCAGTTGCCTGTAGCTGCTAAAATGCTGGTGTACAAAACCACACAAAATAGTTTTCAAAAAGTTCCGATCATACGACAATGGTTTTATCGTATATTACATTAGCATTCTAATGATAAATCAATGAATAGAATAATGAAATGAGGTTCAATTTGAAAACTCCAGCAATCCATTGTGACATAATAAACGAAGAATTAAATGAAGTTACTGGCGTTCTACGAAACGGATTTGCACTCGAATCTAATGGGCACCAGGATTTTGTGTCCTAGATTTGATAAAAAAGATGCGTATTAGATTTGCGTAATCACGCTATTTTAACAAAAATAGTCTTCTCAAATATTGCAATGATTAGTAGCATAGTACACTGTTTACAGTGAAACAGTTCTATTCATACTGTAACGTTTCTCCTACTTACGATTATCTTGCACCGCGTTGGGCAGATATTTTGTAGTATTTCTATCTTCTCCATTATCTTTTCATTAATTATTTATTTATTCAGGTATCTATACCTTAACCTCTGTAAACTATAGTGACCATTTCTAACTAGTTTAATTTTCGAATCTTTTAAATAATATTGTTTATTGCAATGCCCTGCTATGTTCGTAAAATACTGCTCCAATGTTTTATAATTTGGTTCACTCTGTTTGCCTTAAAGATCTTGCATGAGTTCGACGCACAACATACGTCACCTTTCCTGCTGCTCGTGGATGTGTGACTATAGAAATAAAGATTCCTTGAAATTCTGAGGAATTTACTAATGACTGAATTGATGGCAATTCAATGAAATATCAGCATTTTCTTTTCTAGAACAATTAACGTTTATTACAATATTCTTATGACATATTCCGAGCCCATTAGTAATCAATGGCTCTATGGCCTTGAAACATTTCCCAACCGTACGGCTTTGATAAACTGTAAGCTTAGGGAATGTTCCTCCTGTTCTGTAGTTCATGTGTCTATCGTCCGCGTAAACTTTAAATGTTTCCCGACTATTTCTAACTATAAGTCCGCTATTCGAAAGTTCCTAAATATACTTTATTGTTATCGCGGCGTGACTTTCCCTTACTGAGTTTCGGGTGCAATTACTATTTATGACTAATATTTCTTTTCGTATTAATAATATTAATAAAATACATTTTAATATATTAGAATTTCGCAGCTTGTTCATTTTATGACATAGACTGCTACATGGAAATGTAGAGGTTAAAATTGATGTTTACTTTTTTTGTTCCATTACAAATTTAAGCTTTATTAATGTAAATGGACAGAATTAACTAAGTTGGCTGTCCCTGCTGTAACGGAAAATGTAACTGAACAGCGGTCACCCCAGGACCGTCCGATAAGATTCTCATTCAGGTAGTGGCATTGTCCATCCCAGATCATCTTTTGCGCACCCAAACAGCTGGCTACCTGTCATTCCCTCCGTGTGGAATAATAATATATTTATTTTGGCCACAATTGGCGTCTTTGCTAGGTGGTAGCCAATTAATTACACTATACATATGAAAATTAAATATAATGTATTACCTAGAACCGTGTATACCCCAGCCTCCATTTCACGCGTACACATGTGAAACTCAGACTCTCTGTGCACACACCCAAACACGCACGCATCACGCACAAATACGTATGCACTCACACGCACACACATACATACATACATACTTATTCACACACATAGATATATATTCATATACACATATACATACGCATATGCATATACACACGTACATGTGCGTATACCCATATATACACAAACACACCTACACATATACACACATACATATGTACATTCCAAAAATGTACTTACAGCTAATTAATACCATATAATTATACTCTATCGTATTCTATTTATCTAATTCTAATCTTAAATTTTATTTCATTTACTCTATTCACTTCTGCTACGTCTTGCTGTGGTATAGAGGTATATACCGGAGACCGCATCGAAGGAATCAGGAAAGCTCGGAGTCTGTTCGTGATAGATATCCTCCCATTTGTTTCCCTCACAAATGAGTCTTCGTGCATAGGCATTTCTGCTCTGTTTCAATGTCTGTGTTCTATTGCTTCTTTTCAGACCGTGGGCTTCCTGGTGCCGTGCTCGGAGGAGGAATTCGCGTGCCTGCGTGAGGGGCGCGTGCTGGCCGGCGGCGCGTGCCACGCGCTGCGCACGCAGGGCCCGTGCGCGGACGGGGAGGAGCTGGTGCTGGACAAGCACGCCCTGGCGCATGCGCGCCTGCAGGCCGTGTGCAAGGCACGCCCGTGCCCGGAGGGCAGCGTGCATCTGGCCTACGATGGTCGGTGCCTCACACACGAACAGGTACGCTGAATTTTCGTGGCATCCAATGCGTTTTCTTGTCGAGTTACGCATACAGATGTGTCATTTCATGATCAACTTCACCACTGTGTACACTTCAATTAGATAAATGAGACTAGTCATTTTGATGAGGAACGATTCGTTTCTGCGCATCAGGTTTTTGACGTTGCTCTTCTTCTATTAAGTGCAAAACATTGTGTTTATATCTAGTTGTAGTTCTGAGGACAGTTCTAAGAAATGCAGAAGAAAATCTATTTTATCGAATACAAATGAAGCGAAACAGATATGTGTGAATAGACAGATTTGGGGAGGAAAGTAAGACAGCGCTGAATTGCGTGCTTATCTGTGATCGCGCTCGATTTTAAAGTCCAAGACTTTTGACAGCCGCCTGTCCGAATTGTAGGGCACTAGCTGTTCACAAACGATAAAATACTGGTACCACGAAATGTTATTGTTATATTACTGCCTCGTGCAAATTAAAAATGGAGGCAGTGCGTAGCGAATCTGCGCCTCGATTGTTAACATTTGGCCTCTGCAATATTAACACTCACAACATTACTAGGTATGTTAATAGCCTTAACAGGCAGTAATCGGTTAAGACTTGCTGAAACAAATGAGTCGTATTTAAAGAGAGCGGTTGATATTCCTTTTACTCAGAAATGGTATTTCTTGTTCATATAATTTTTTTCTGGCAAGAAGAATGTATTACGAACGTTACATAACAAACACGACCCTTAGCACAAATAACACAGATGCTTGAATTTGGTATTTATATGCCTAACGAGATCAATAAGTGGCGATGGCGAGCGGCGGCGATGGTGTAACGGTTAGCGTATCGGGATGATATACCCAAGTTGGCGGGTTCAAACCCGATTTTTAAGGGCGAAAAAATCCTTCGTACGCCTTGTTTCGGTGGGGAAATAAAGCCGGCTACCCCATGTTAGTAAATTTACTTGCATGTAAAAGATCCTCAAGCCTAAATGACGCCTCTGAGCTAAATTAAAAATCACCTGTTTCTCGCCCAAGAAATACCTCCTTCCTCTGCTAGTTGGTGAGCGTAGCGAAATTTGCGTGGTCAGCCGGAAGAGCGGGCCTGATGGCCACGTAAAATAAGGCATTAATTCAATTCGACGATGTTGTTGTTCCAGGTGAAGTCCATCCTGTGCGTGGGGCAGAAGGTGTCGCTGGACGAGTTCGGCGGCTGGCAGTGCGACTACGACGGGCAGTTCCCCGGCAACCTCACCGCCGTCGCCCGCAACGCCGACGTCGGCAGCTGCGAGCTGCCTGAGAAGTATCCCGTGTTTCCCCAGGGCGGCCCCATCGCTGCGTCCGCCGCCGGCGGCGGGGCAGCCTCCTCGGGCGGGACGGGCCGGGGGCTGGGTTTTGCGGGGCGCAGCGGGCGCCGCCCCCAGGCGCCGCTGGGGGATTCGGGGGCGGGGCGGGGAGGCCGCCGCACCCTCAGGGGTAGGGCTGGTGGCCATTCCAGGCGTATGTGAACTAGTGCTCGTATGTGAATACAAGAGGTATACCAGTCGCATACCAATAACATTCTAGAGAACTAACGTATATGTGTGAGTTCGGGATGGGTGTCGACGTAATGTATTGAATGAAGCAAGATAATTGAAGCGAAAAAAGCTCATATTTAAGAACTAATTTTATATGAATTAAATATTTTTGGAAGTTAGTGGTACAATATTTTCAGTTTTTGAGGTCAGTCAAGAGTTTACATATATAGATATTTTGAACATTTTCTGATTTTGCGGTTCTTTCCGGGATATAGATGATAATGTTACTTTTTTGGGGATCTAGTAGAACATTCCCTATGTTGCTACAATTGGATTACTGTTGCTTACATCTACAGATTCTAAAGTAAAATTGGAATGGGTTTTTAGGTACACCTAGCTGTAAGACAACGCTGGAGTTTGCACAAAGCGAAATGCATGATGACGGTTTAGAATTTTTATAAATATCAGGTAAGTGTCGACAGACTTATTACTTAGATCTGATTTGCTTGTTTCCTTTTGAGGAATGATTTTGGAGTTTAGTGTCCGCGGGCATGCGCAGTGTGGCTTGCTGTGGGTTTTGGGAATCTGCGCATGCGCGAGTTCGCTGAATCACGTCATTAGGCAGCGTGTAAATCAGGTCTTAGCGTTCTAATCATAAAAGTCCTTTATGATAAAACAGTAACTCTTTTTCCAAACCAAGAGAAAAAGAGTACGCTGGCTCGCTGGGTTTAACCATTGAATTTCCTCATCATTGGTATACAAGACTATTAAAAAATATTTGAGAGTTCGTTGGGCCTCTTTGTATGAGTGAAATGGTACATTTTTGACCTCAAATAAAAACGTTTTAAAATAATTCTTTCTTTATTTTTTGTGTTGCATGCTTGAGAGTATTTGTCACGAATTCCAAAACAGCACAAGCCACTTATCAAAGTTTTGAGATATCTATTTATTTTTATTAAACGAAATCCAAGAGGATTGTATGATATTTAGTAATACGAAAGCAATAGGAATGTATATCGGCAATATAACGGACTGATTCATCATGGGCAACTGTAACCCGTAGTGAATTATTGTTTGCCAACAAGTAAAAGACAGATTCAAGGAATGTATATCCATTATTAGGGTCGAGTTGAGCACTTTAAATTTTAGAATATAACATTTGAAAAGAAGGTTATAGCATTTATAGCATTATTGAGGTACACTCAGATACATTCAGGGAACTTTTGATTTACAAAATAATGCAATGATGGGTTACTCTGAAACATTGGTACCTGGAAATGACAATAAGGGAGTAGTATAATATATTTATAAAGAAGAAATAGGGCAGCCGTATTGGTCAGGGAAATAATTAGATGAAAATATTACGACGTAAAATGTACGTCTTAAAATTAGTACTAATATTTAAGACTCAGCAGTGTTAGGAATGTTAGGAAGGAATAAACAGTGAATACGGGACATTGATATTCCTAATATAAAAAAATACAGTAATGATTTGTGACGTGGTCCATTGTAAAATATAAATTTTGTATTTGGGATATGATGGAAAGCAGGAAAGATGTACAACCAATGGTGACACGTTTTAGTACAGGTATAGGCGTTAGGACAGGATAGGCAATTGTCAGCAGATGTGTGGACACCAATGGAAAAATTACTTATAAAAAGTTTTTTAGAAAACTTATAGCCAAGGTCACATGTTTCATCGAGGCCATAATTTTGGCAGAAGCTATTTGGTTGTCTTAGCAAGCACTTGAGAAGCTTTTTAGGCGCCTATAGATCCTTAGTTAACCCGATTTGAAGTAGTGTCGGTATAGAAATGTTCATCGGAGACATTCGGAAAATAATTTAATGTAAATAGTGTTGGTTAATATTGGATTTAGGGAACATTAACTTTCGTTCAATGTTAACATCAAGATAGAAGATTCCTGTCAAGACTCTTCGTGGGAACTTGTCCACTTCAGCAGCACGCAGGCGACGAGTACAACTCCTTCACAAACTGTAAGCGCCTCGGAAAACGTCGTACAAATAATTGAAATTATTCTTTACAAAGAGAAGAGTGAAAAACCCTTTAATACATAAAATAAATAATATTTACATTTAATAACATACCAGACATTATTTCATAAAGTCAAAAATTTTAAATTAAATAACGAATTTAGTATTTATCAATGATATAAAAATGTTATTGTTAAAAAAAGGATTCATTTAATACAAAAGACTCCGTAGACAAATCATTTTAGTTTTTTAAATAGTAAGTGTTCGGAAAATACCCCGTCCGACTGTCAAAGAATGATTCCTGAATTGTATAGAACTAAAGGCTTCTGAATAACACTATTCAAATATGGGAAATAGGATTGCCTTGCAATTTGTAAATACTTATTAAAATAATACAACATTCTTTTAGAAGGACAATTTTGGAAAAGTTGTATATGAACTTATTTTAAAATATATCTTTAAGGAATATATTTCATTGAAAGAAAAATTTCAACATAACATTTTAGTTGTAGGAAGTGAACTTTTACAATTTTCGAAAAATAAGAGTTTTCAACGAACGCGTCATGTACACCATTCTCTTAAAAGCCTTTTACACAACAAAATTTAATTAAAAAAGATGGACTCATTTTTTGAAAATTTTGAAAATATCCCGGAGGCTTGATGTAAAGTACTCCCCAAAATTAAAATATCGGTTTCAAATTCAAAGGGCCGTAACATCAGATAAATCAATAGGGAGATTTCAATTTTGAGGAAAATCGGCTTTGTGATTTAGCCGATAGCGTTGTTGACGTTCTTCCTTCAATCGACTCTTCAGTACCAAGAACCCACAAAACAGGGATTCTGACTACACTGACGTGTTAGAGGATTTTTCTAAACTTAGCAAGTGGCGTTATTCGCTTTTTCGTGAGCAGGGCCCGATAGTAAGAGTTTTTTTGCTCCAAATTCGCCGTTTTTTCTCGCAGAATTTCGTAACTTTCTCTTCTTAAGAAGTCAGGATGGGGACTATATACAAATATTCTACAACAATAACAATTTTCGTTTATATAATCTTTCTTTCATGAATTCTCTTATTCTTCACATCAAATACTCGCTACAAATCCCTCCCTTTTTGCATGCATGACCAAATTTCCCGTAATCAATAATTTAGAAATTTTCTTTAGCACAAAACTTGGTCTTCTTAAAATGGCAAATACAAATAAAAAATAATGTTATCTATTTTGCGACATTTCCTTTTGGAGATTCACCTCAAACTTGAACATCATTCAGTTCAGCCTCCATTTGCAAATAATCCACTCTAATGATGTTCGCGTCCTCCACACATGCAATCATATTTTCTTTCTAATTGTACTATCTTACTACCTTAAAACATCGCCTTTCTCAAACTCACAATTCTATATATTTCTTCCCGCAATCAAATAGCTTTCCCTTTTAAATTTGACTCACACTGTGTCAGAAGATCGCCTGCCCCGTTTTTTCATCTCGCCCGCCCTTCACCTCTTTCTCATC